TTCAGTGCACAGTCAGAGACAATTAAAGAGTTTAAAAGCTCTTTTGATTCCATTGAAAAGGAAAGATATGCAACCTCTGGTATTCTGGTATTCTTTAAACAAGTTTTAACCCATAGGAGAACTCTTTCTTGTCCCCAAATGACTCAAGTTCCATGACCATTTCTTTAGAAATTGATCTTTTAGAGAAGGTGGATTTTTTCTTTGTTTGCTGTTTTTCACTCAAGAGACTGCTTTACTTTCTTGGATATAATCCTAGGGAGTCTTCATTTCTTGCACTAACAATCTACTGCAACTTTTTGGTGCATCTCCTCCACACATAGAAGATTATGAAATATTAAACTTCTTAGAGGAGTAATGAATTGAAACAATGATATACCACAGGCAAATGACTAACTGCATCGTGGAATTAATATATTATATGACTCATAGTAAGTCATAATCAAAAAGGCAGTACCGGATACTTGGAAGAGGCCAGATAAAACAGGTTAAGCTCTGCATCTGTTTTCCCCTTCTCCTGTCACAGAGTGCCTTTGGCACTTAGCAAGGCTGATCTGGAATAGAGTGTAGCACAAATGGAAGTGCTGCTAGAGTAGGATCACTACAGCACTGACAGAGTTTTAAATATATTAATGTGAAAACAGCCACAGGAGCAGAGAACAGTGCGGGCTGCAATCTCTACTCTGCCAGCGCAGTAGGTACTCAGTAGTTAGAGTGCTCTAAACTTCTTGATAGAAGTTCTTGAACTAGCTGGCTTTAGCTCATGTTATTCTATCTCTTGGAGCTGCAATCACAGCTTCTTCAGTGTGATCATATCTTTAAAAGGGTAGCTTTGGACATGGTAAGACTAGCACAGGCTTATGTCTTTATAGGGAGCTGCCCACTCACACTCTGTTATTATTTGAAGACTTCTCCTTATTTGAAGACTTCTATTCTCATTTCAGTCTATTTTATCTTCAGAGAAAGGCCCAGGCAGTACTAAAAGGTGTACTAAAAGAGAATTTGCTAATAATGTTTATCAGCAGACAATTTTTATACTAATTCTGTTTAACAGTTTTACTAATGGCACTGGCATAGTATTAGGAGTGTGTGAGGAAATTTGTGGATGGCAGAAAACAAAGCATCATTAGTATAAAGAATGGAAATGATGCACAAAAAGGATCAGGTGACCTTGATGAGAAGAATAGACGCAAGCTGAAATCCAGCTGTTCAAATTGTAATAATATGAAAATAGGAAGTACAACAAATTGAGGCTAGAAATTAGAATACAGAAATTTGTCAGAATGAGGATCTAAAATAGCCTTTCAGTCACACTAATGTGCTCTCACATTGATGCTCAAAATTATTTTTGAAAAGTGTTTCATGAAACAACATCTGCAAAAGGTGATCTGATACAGTGATTTAGGGGTCCTTTCTGAAGCTGTTTCTGCTCTTGGGTAAATTACCTATGTCTCAATGCAAACATGGCTGGGTAGAAATACTTCAGTGCAGGAATGGGTCTGTGTTTAACCCATGTGTTAGGTTTATCTAGTAATACAGAACATGTTTGACCAAATCCTCAACTGACAGTACATCATGAGTGAATTAAAAAGCTATGGCTCTTCCTGTAATTTTTAAATTCAGTATCACAACTTTTTTGTGCAAGGTGACTAGATCTTCATCCTTACAGAATGTGAGCTGAAATGGATGAAGGGAAAAGCCTGACAATGGATGTCAAAGAAGATTGGGCAGTGTTTCTTTCAGATAGCACTCTGTGACAGCCTGCAAGGGCCTTCTGGGCATCTCTCACTATAGAAACTGACACACATAATGTTTTATATTTTGTTTGCATGCTGAACTCAACTTTGTATTCTCTTGCTTGTGGGAAGAAGAATAAATAAATGCTGTACTGTTTGTTTATGCCTAAGTGACAGTTTCCTGGTATTCTAAACAAAAATAGAATATTGGCTGCAAAGAGTGTGTTGAATGCCCTCCTTTAAATCGTGCTGTCAAATGAGCAGACCTGGGACTGCTGTGTAAACACACTTATGGCCTTGTCATACCGTGCTTAGTGACTAACTTTAGTGTTGTACTTTTTTCTAGCGTTTTCTCACAGAGTGCAAAAGTATGGCAACATAGCAAGATTCCCCAAACCTTGTTCTTATGAATGACTGTGTCTCCAAGTACAAAATGTAGCAGCTGAGGTTTTGTTTCTGAAGTTCTGAAACTAGACACCATCACAGGCTGTGTTTGCGACAGAATAAAGGGAAATGTAAATGTCACAAGACATGTTTCTTTGAAGACTGTATTAGGGCAATTTAGATGTTATCTTAGAAAAACTTTGCTTAATTTATGCATAAGAGTATGTGCATAAGAAAAACAATTTTTTCTGAATGTGTTTTTAGTGTAAAAGAAGCCGTAATGACTTCAGCACATAGAGTCACAGGAGCAGTAGAGCAATATAAAATGCAAACAAAGGTAAGCCTATCAGAAAAGCTTTTTGGTCTTCGAATTTTTTATCAGGAGCAAGATTCCAGAGTAAATTAGGAGAGAAGATAAGGAGAAAGGAGCACTGTAACACAGTAAGACAGAGGAAGTGCAAAAACAATAAAATGCTAGTTCACTAGTGAATGAGAATTCAAAATTATATTAAGCAAAGACATTAACTGAAAGCAGTAGCATACAAGAAAAACACGTATGTGGATTAATTAGTACTCTAACCAGGTTGGTCTGTAAGTCTCCTTCACTGAATCCATCTATCTCCTTCACTCCAGTTGCAGCACAGATGCCGTGCCATCAATTTCAGTTCATTGCCATCAGTAAAACTGAACTAATGAGAATCGTATCTCACTGCTAACAGAAACAGATTTCTTGTGGCTCCTCTGAAGCCCCTGGTCATGTCTATTTTAGAGGACAGTAACCAAATAGAGGACTTCTTAGTCCAATGTTGTGAATGTTACTCCATATAGAAAGATTTGTTTTAAGAACCCTTCATAAAAGATCTTGCACTCCTTTATCCTGTTGCCTTCAGAATATGCTCACAAACACCAGAGGTGTCCTGCCTGCTTAGGTAAACTAGGAAAGTCTTTAAAGTTCTACCTAAAGTTTTTTAATTCCAAGTCTTTCCCACTGCTGCAACTATGAGGATTTGTGACAGTAGGACTGCTAGTACAGATCCTGCACTCGCAGCTTCAGTGGCATGTCATCCAGCTCTACTTGGGGCAGATCTAGACACAACAGGCATGAAATGATCTTGACCTTTCTTCTGAGCTATCCCTTCCACTCTTGCTAAAATGGACCAAACCACACAGATAATAGCAGAAATATTAAGTAATAAAGCCTGGTTATGTGGGACAGCTTTTGCTCATTTGCCTCATTACATTCTCAGCAGCTTGCTCAGGTCTTCAGAAGGGGCACAGTTCCTTCTAAGCTTATTAAAACGTTGAAACTCTGCGCAGTATACATACACACTCGATCAGCTTGACACATTTATCCTGTGAGAAGAAAACCTCGTCACTACACTTTGCTCAGAATAAAAACAGCTATATATCTAATATGTCTAATATGATATATTCTAATATATGAATATATAATATTGGAGGGAAACCTGCTTAGGAGCAGTATTAGCTAAAAATTTCCCATGAAATGTGGGCTGCCTTTATTTTTTTCCCTTATGGCGGGGGTGTCAAACATGAAATTAAGTTTTAGACAAACAGCTTCTTTTGTGGTTGAAAATTGTCTGCTTTGAAGGGGAATGTCATTGATTCGTCAAGACACCCAGAAGCTAAAGTCCAAGTACTTCTTGTCTGAAAAAGAAAACTTTCTGGTACTGGATTTTTTTTTCCTCAGCACAGTCCATTTTTTAAAGAAATATTGCAAATAGGGTATCCTCATAGTCTACTCCATTTTCTTAAGAATTTTTATGACATGTCCATACACCTTGACATTTGGGTGACTCTACATAAAACTGTAGACTGTCTCTGCTGCTTCTGTAACCTATGTTGGCGACCTCAAGCATTCTGCGGAGACAGTTTCCTTATCTGCAGAATGGGGGCACTGTGCCTACTTTAAGCTTACCAGCAGAGGGTATAAGGCATTTGTGAAGTATTTCAAACTTTTCCAATGGATGGCACTGAGGAATCCTTATTTTGGATCCCTTGCTTTGTCATCCAAAACAGGCTAACATTCCCTCATCGTCAACAATGGCTACATCTGTCTTGCTTAACAAGAGACTGTCCCTGCTTCTCTGGCCACCACTCATCTCCAAGCAGCTCAACTCAATCCATCTACAATGGGAATGGACAGATGCATATTACATATCAGGACATCATAGGATCTCCCTAGTTACATCTGGATCATACAGACCTGCCTGCCTTCTCCTCTCCATGCTTAATGCTGATAGTTCAGGTTGCTGGAACTGTGGCTCAGCTGCACTAAATCGTAGGTTAGAAAGGGTTGGGGATTATACTGTTTTTGGTGGAAAATCCATGCCTACTCTTGATGGTAATCACTCCTATCAGCCTCAGAATGAAATTCCAGAACCTGTTCCCTACTGTAAACACATCAGTGATCTCCCACCAGAACATAAGAAATCCCTGCCCAATTTCATAGTATCTGCCGCCTCTCATTCAGTAGAAACCTAGGACGGACCACCTGACCAAAAACTTCAAGTTCACAGACTGTTTTCAGTTAATATTTTAATACGTTAAATGGATCAGTTTTGCAGATTATATGAATTTAGAAGTTGGAGTAAAAAAGACTTTTTCTGTGACAAATGACACATACTTAAGAGTCAGTAAGTAATTGCCTACACAGAAGTCATGGAGACAGCAGTCAGCCTTGTGACCCCTGAGAAAGGAAAAGCAGGGGTGGCTATACTAGGTATGTATTTTAATTATGCTCCATTATTTTTAGTAAAAGAAAGGCACAGTGTGATTCATAACCCTTATGGGAATAAAATAGTGCATTTTTCCCTTTTTTCCACCCTGACATCTGATCAGTCCCAGGGAACAGTCAAGACTCACCCACTGTTCCCATGAGCTTGGCAATGATGAGCAGCAGAGAGACACACAGAGTCTTCCCAGCAATCGTCATGTCAAATTCTGCTTTCATGGCTCAGGCAGTGTCGTCACTCCATCCATCCCACTGCAAACCTAGCTGTAGTCGGGGGGAGCTTTCCTTGTCCACCAGGACATCCTGGCCAGCCAGCATCAGTGTTTTCTCTCGCCCTCTCCCTCTCCTCTAAATGTGTGCAGTCATGACGGACTAGCTCCTCAAAGCTGGAGAGGTTCCTCCTTCTGCCTTTTTGTAGCACTAGGCTTCCTGTGCTGAGAGCCTGGGCGAACGCTGAGGAAACAGACTGAACTGCTCTGCCTTCCGTTCATTGGCTCTTCTCACAAGGCTGATGAGTGAAGATAAACCCTGCAACAGAGCTCATATGGGGCAAAAGTGAAGGGGATAAATCAAAGCTGGGTTTAATATCAAAAAGAAAACCTTAACCTCAGAAAGCGAGCAAGAAACTTTCTTTATGCAGAGAAAATTCCTTCTTCTGCCCCCTGAAAAAAATAAACAATTTTACATTGTTCTCTATAAATGACATTTTAAATAATGTTTCCCCTCTGTAGATGCTTAGCTACTGGCAACTCTGTTCTCATCGTGAATGAGCAGGCTTTCCAGACCCTAGGGAAGAGACTGTGTGTTGAGGGAAAAGAAAATGCTATTTACCTACCTCTTAACAGAAACAGTACTGATACTGAAGGTGGTCCACACCTTTCACTGAAAAAAAATTGACTTTTTTTTTAGAATACTGTTGGTTTGTTTTAGAACATTGTACCTATTTCTGCCCTTCTCCTCTAATATAGTTACTCCAGATCCAGATCTTTTCCTTCTCAGAGCAGTTAGATAAGGCAGAAATTCAGCTGGATCTTCTTGGTCTCAGGATCTTATTACTGCCTACAGTTTAGTGTGGGAGGGAGTACTGTGGTCACATAAGTAGAGATTAAATTACAAAGATGGAGAGAGAAGGAGGCAAAATGTACGCAGGAGAAGGCCTTAAATGGGAAAGAAATGCTGCTGAGGTTTAGGCCAGAGGAAGCAAAGGTGGAGCAAAATGCACAGACATTTGACAGACTGGATCGATGACTGCTCCATGAAGTGCGCAACTTGAAAAAAAAAAATGAAAGATGCAGTGGGGTAGTGGGGATTTTAGAAGAAAGTGAGCAACCTCTTTATAATAAGGAAAATTCTACTCTGATTTGTCCCAGTGAAAGGTCTGACCAGAAGAAGCTAGACAGCTGGATTCTTTTGATGAGCAAATATCATTTAAGATGGCATTAAGAATCTTTGTAAACATTTTTGTGATTGGAGCTGGAGAGACCAGGAGCGACAGGCTCATACAATGAGCTAGTCCATTAATTTGAGAAGGGCTGAGTCTGGGAAGCACTGCAGCAGTTCCTTTTTTTTTTTTTTTTTTTTTTTTTTTTTTTTTTTACTTTTAACAGCAAACAACAAAATTTAAGAAGTGATATTTGAGAAGTCTGTGGTGGGACATTTCTAAAACCATAAATTTATCACCAGAAGTGATGAGGACGTACGTCTTATGTCTTCCTCCCTGAAGCCTGGCCTGTCAGTAATATCCTGGGAGCCAGGATACCGTGACAGTGGAAATGACCTTAAGAGTGGGAAAGAGGATGATCCAGATGGAGAAATAAGCATGGATTCTGGGATGCATGTAGAGGTGGAGAAAGTCTAGGTTTTCTGGGTCCATCAATCAGAAGTGTAGTGTGCATTTGATGGAAAGGAGAAGGAGAGAGATATATTGGTTTGTTAAAGCAAAAGCTGAAGTCTGAGACATAGTTGGGAATAAAGAAATTTCTAAGAAGGTGCAGTTGCAGACCCAAGTACAAAAAGTGCACATTTCCACGCAGCAGCAGGGAAAACTCAAGGATCACCTAAGGTGCAATGAAGAACCTCTATTCAAAGCTTTCCTCCCACTGAATTTTCCCTGTTTTCTGTGTGTGAAGAGAACAGGTCTGGGCTATGCCTGTGGTTTTCAGTGTGGGTATTGTAGAGCCATTTTCTATTAATTATCATAATGTCATCAGATATTATTTGACAAAGGCATAGTCTGTGATCTGCTGTGTTTGAAGTGGTTTTGTTCAGCCTTAAAGTCCTTTCTGGTGGCAGATGCCATACGAATAACTTGTTCAATAAGTAGTACAGGAGCTCTAAAGATGGGTTTTAATTTTCAAGGTGCAGACAGAAATTAAATTATCTTTTTAAAGCTTCATTTCCAATGATGATAGACTGTACATAAATGGGTAAATCAAATAATCTCCCAAATTGGAAATGGTTCTGGAAAAGCATCCTAATTCTCTCTGTTAGTGACAGATCTGTATAGCTCACGGAATAAGTGCACACCCTGACAGTGAAATACAATGGTCTCATCTAAGAATTTGGCAAGTGAAGTTAAGACTGTGTTACATTATGCAATGGGCTTCTCCCAATGTACTTTAGCATTACAAACACTTTAATTCTTTTAGCGATAGCAATGTGCATCTCACTTACTGGTGAGTTTCCTGCCTTTTGATGATTACTTAGAGTGTGAAAATGGTTATTCTTATAGCGAAGGAAAAATATTTTCGTATGTTTTATTTTCATCCTCTACAATGAAATAAGCTAATTTTGCATATGGGTGTACGCAAAAGAGAAAGCAAAAGTATTGGATAACATTACTTCTTGTGTGGGCAGATGCAAAATTTCTCCTACATACACCTTGCTAATGGCCTTCACTTTGAATGGCTGTTCCTCCTACTCTTCCAGCTCTGCTCTTGAATGGGCATGGAATTCACTCGATCTGCGTGGAATAGGATTGGCAGATCTGCCCAAAATACGATTTCCTGATGGTTGCATTCGCCTGCCGCTGTCAGTACACTGCAAAGGGCGCTGTGCGATGGTCATTTCCTAGCACACTGGCCCATCACACAGCAAGTTCCCTAGCAGAAAGGCATAACAAGGTAGACTGGCTATGGAGATAAACTGTGTAAACATTGCAGTAGCTAAGTGACATGGTGTGCTTCTAAAGCGACTTCCGGGTTGTTCTGTGGTTGGGTGCTGTTTATTCCTGGAACCACCCACACACCTGAAAGTCCTGATGAGAATATGGTTTCTTTGACACAGCTCCTGCTGGATAGAAGGTTAGCCTGGGGTCAAATCCATATTCCCAAAGTCCCTTTTCCTCAGAGAAGCTTGCACTTAATAGCAAGACTGAAATCAGTAGGACCTGACTTTGAGTCCAAAGCTGTTGGGCACCCTTCGTACTTGGGAATAGGTGAAGAAAATTTTATCCATGCCTCAAAGTGTGTCTGGGGAGGGTACTAACTACTTCCCTGCAGCCCAGTCAGAGCTTGTGATCTCTGTGGCTCCTTCGATTCCTGTTCGCAGACTCCATCAGGACATGTCCATGTGGCTGCTGGCAGTGTAGAGCCCCTGTGCTGGGCTTTCTGAGCAAGCTTCCGAAATGCAAGCAGGGTAGTTGAGTTAGCCCAGCACTGTGCCTAGGCAGGGAATAGCAACTTGCTCATGCAACCCACCATTACTCAGTGGAGATGGATGTTTCCACTCAGAAAAACAAGATGATGTACTAGTTCACTGAGAGAGAGTTTGGGGATCACTAACGTAGTAATATTGAAGTGTTGTGGCTCTTTTGGAGAGAGCATAAAGATTAGAAAAAGTTATGACTTTCACCTGCTTCAAACATCTGCATAGGCCACAGTGTCCAAGAGCTCCACCTTGTCATACGCTCTGGTTGTGTTCTCATTGATCTCCCAGCAAGGCTCCCCCTGAACCCTGCTCCAGATTGCACAAAGAAAGAGAGCCAGGCTTACTTGGGAGATGTGACGGGGTGCAGATGACTGAAAAGCGGGGAGGAAATGACTCAGAGACCGGATGAACTGATGAGACAAATGATTAGTGAGAGGAGAGAAGCAGGAACTTCCAGATGAGTCCTAGCTCCCCTCTCTACTGGAGCTCCAAATCGTTGGAGTCAGCCCCTCTTTTCTTTGCTCAAGGTGAGAATGCTGCAGGGAAACAAGTAATTTTTGTGGCTCTGCTTGAGGAGGTGATGTCTTAATTCTCTAATTTCTCAAAATGGTGAAACATGGCTTGATGCAATGAACCGATTATTTTCATTTGACATCAAAGCCTCAGGCCATTTTTTTTTAATTGAGATATATCCTAACAGTATCTTATCCCAGTCAGACAAGCTAAGGATATGAAGGAGTATGTTCTGCATTTGACTGCCATTTGCAGCACTTACTTAAAGTGGTGTGGCCTGGAAGTCAGGTAGCTCAGCTAGGTTGAGACTAACCTCCACACTGCCTTGGAAGTCATGTCATGTCTATTATCCCCAGTAAGGACTGCACAGAATGAGAAGACTGTATGTGGTGTATCCTTTATTATTGGAGCAGATGGAATATGGAAACGTGAGAAATCTGGGGAAGATTTTTTCAGTGAGACAATTCCAGGGTGTAGAGACATTGATTTTTTTTTCAGCAACAGATGTTACACATGTAAGCAAAAGCGGGAGTTTCTGTGGCCTAACCGGATTTCAGACAGTTCTTTCCGTCTTTGGCTTACTAAAGCTTAGAGAGGCAGTTGTAATGGTGTGGACATTTCTAATGAAGAAATTAAGAATTAAAATCCAATGCCCTTCATCAGTAGATGATCTGTGTCATTTTCCAAAGACAACTATATTGACACAGAGAATTAGCAAAACCTACACTTAGTCATTCGAAATTACTATTTTCAGCATCTTCCCTCTGAACGCTAGAAAAAAAAGCCTCTTTCAGTTCCTCTGTTTTTTAGTATTGCCTATTTTATCTGTGAAATTCAGTGCATAACACCCACTTACACAGAAACAGACATGACAGGAGTCTCGCAGCACAAGATCACTGTAATATGTGTAGGTTGCATTGAGATCTATCATGATGTTCGTCTGATGTGAGTGCAGTGGTTATGGACAGATGAAATCAAAGTCTTTTTTTCATTTTCCAAAAAAAATCAGCAATCCAACCAGTATTACAGTTTTCTTAAAACTTTTAGACAGGAAATAAGTGGGATTTCAGAGAAGAGGGGAAGGAGGCAGACGCTCCAGCCTCACTAACCCTTCGTCATTGCCGGCGTGATCTGATCT